TGAGCTTGAAGTTTTATACTGTAAAAGCATGCTTGGGCCTGAGTGACCAAGAAATACTAAAATTGTGGCCCTTTTCTTTGGCACTTCAGGAAAGAAAGAATGTACCTAGGCTATCATCAGATGAGCATGCCTCGGCCTAAGACCTTCCTTCTGTCCTGGAATTGAGGAAACTGCTAGAGGCTTACCTATTCTGGTAGCTGTAGTAGGCGGCATCGCGAGGAATTGTACACAGCTGCTTCCCGTAGCAGCACAAAGTCTGGGGGGAAAACTCATACTGCAAAAGTAAAGGAGAAATTACTAAAAATATATCCCATTCACTATCAGGTAATATTCTAGTCCACAGTGAAGTGAGATTCAGCTAGTACAAGAGAGAGTTTTCTAACAATTTTCATAGCTATTTAAAGGCATTTTTGGTTACAATGTGACAGAATTAGTGCCTAAGAAACATGGAGAGATGGCAGTGCTTCCCCAGGGCCCTCCCCAGTGAGCACCCTTGGCTGTGATCACCTGCCACATTGCCTCAGGCAGGCAGCCGCTTCTACTAGACTCCAAACTGTGGGGGCTTCCCAGCACGCAGGTAGGGCCAGTGTCCAGTCTATCACATGATGATACCCTTCCCAAGTGGATTGATGAGGGAAGTTCCTTTTCCAGTAGAAGTTTAAACTGTACCTTGCGTCCACAGCAATATCCAAGGGACTGCATGACAGGGTCAATCTCTTGCTCAAAGACCTCTGCGAGTTTACTGCAAAACTTATAGACCCGGGACGTTTTACGATTGTACAGCCAGGCGTTGTTGAACATGAGCCAGACATCGTCCACATACTGCCAGGGCTCTTGGTACTGCCCTGTATCCAGCTTCCGCTTGATGGTGGAAAGGTCCATGGGATTCTTCACGATGTCAAAATAATCCTTAAAGACAAAACCATCTCAGTCTAGTGGGTTCCCAAAACGCCAACGCCAGCCTTACCTGGCAGCTTTCTCTTACCGTGGATATGCATTAGTTACCCTAGTGAAGTTGTGTTTTTACTCTATAACTTACTGGAATTCCTAGGAGCTGGGGATCTACTGGCTGCCGGAAAGGCAAGGACTCTGGATCCTGGCGGTACAGCGCTTCCAGGGTTGGCATAAGAGCCTGGCGTAACTCCTCCGGCTTAAAGACTGCAGTTAGAAAACATCAGGAAGCCACACTGTTTATAAGGCACTCAGAGCCCTTCCATCACGCTTCACATGGAAGCCAGGGCCCAGCTGTGGTGCTTCCACTCACCACAGGGCCCACGGACATTCTAAAGCTATGATTCAGGACTTTGAACGGCACAGTAACACTACGATTTTTAATAACTGCACCCACGAATCATGGTAAAATGAGGCAAAACATCGCACTGACAAGTTTGCTTCTTCAATGAAAGGATTTCCAGTGTTAAAAATGTGTTGGAATAGAAAATGAAGCTTACTCCCAAATCTGCTTCACCGACCCGGTGTGTGGTAATAAAGCCCAGGGAAAGGGACCTCTCCTTCTCTGAGGACATTTTTCTGTCCTTGGCTGAAGTAAACTCAGACCACCTGAGACCCAAGTATTACCACTTCGCAAAGTATACAGTATGGAGCTACGAAAACAAGGATGCTTCCCAAAGTCTG